GCTGGGGAATTTTGGGAGTTGAAGTCCACATGTCTCAAAGTCGCCAAGGTTGAGGAAACCATGGGTTATGCCATTGCCTCCCTTTCTTATACCCAACCATCCACATTCATCCCGTGTCATGTCTAATTTGAACCTGAGCTGGAAAAGAAACAAACAAAAAAAAAAGCGGGGGGGGGGCTATGCAAGAAAGTTAGAAAGCATGAAAGCAAAGAAAGAGGCAAAGCTATAGGAAAAGAGAAAGAGATGAAAGAGAGAAAGAAAAGTATGAGAGCAAACCATTAGAGGAAAGAGGCAGTGGAGGAAAGCAAAGACTGAGGGAAAATGGCTTCACAGAAAGCAAAAGCGCGTGCAAAAGAATTCAAACCAGAATGCTAGAGCAGAACCAGATTGCAAAAGGACATATACATCTATAGTTGACAGCTGCGTGACAACAAAAATGAACTTCTAAAGGCAAGGAACCCCTTTCTCAAATAACGATGCCCACTGATGCAGAAATACATGTCCCAGAGGTCTATGGGATTTATGTTCCAACAAGCACCTTTAAAACACCCTGAACCTCATTTGCAAAGCTTGATCTGCACATTGTAGCAATGAGAGGGCAGAATCCAGTGGACAGAATGGACTAAATCATTTCAGCCTGCATGTGGGAGGAAAGCAGATATCAAGAATTCCCCCCAGATTCAAAATGAGCACAGCGGGAGAAAGTCTAACTTAGAATTTTTCTTTGCAGGGGTTTAATTTTTAGCTGAAATGCAGGCAAGTGTTCTGAAGAGGTTTGCTGCAGCAGTAGACTGGATTAGGATGGCCAGGTGCGAAAGAAAGCAGAGCTCCTGCACCTTTAATAGCTGTACCAGTAAGTTGTACTGCAGTAGATTCTTGCTTTACTCAGTTAACTCAAGGTGCAAAAGCCCCACTGTCTGGAGCCACATTTCTTTAGTAGGGGTGACCGTGCTGGGGAAAAACACAATTTTGTTCAGAAACATGGGGAGAGGTTCTAAGAGAAAGATCTGTCTTTTGATGGCAGTGAAATGGAATCAACTCTAGGAAGCCAAGAGATCTTAGTTCAGCCTGCAATCATTCCAAGAAAAGGCATTATTAAACAAGGCAACACAAAATATTAGTTTAGGAAAAGCAGCATGTTAGGAGAAAGGAGTGGGAAGGTAGGTTGAGGAATCAGAAACAACAGCACTCCAAATCACGCCCTGCAGTTCAAAAAATCATAGATACACTCACGCCACATCACTTTTGGGATAGTGAACTGGGTCAAGTAAAAAAAAAACCCAACCTTGACTCTTTTATTTATGATTACACACACACACAATTTTCAAACTAGTTATTGTTGTGTTTTCCTTATTTTAGATGTTGTGAGGTGCCCAGAGCCATTGGGGGTTGGCTGGCATACAAATTTGATAAGTAAATAAATTAAATTAAATTAAATTAGGCCAATTCCTCTGATCTTTTTGCTTACTAAGATTTCAGCAAACATTGCCCTCTAAGTTCATACTTCATGTCTACAGGGGCTAGAAATGTAATTCAGAGTCTTGGAGCACCCAAGGCAACTTACCAATTGCTGCAGATACGGTGAAAATCCAGCATTACATAATGGCTTCACGGGAGGGCATTCTAAAAATGGCAACAGACTCACCCTACTTTATCGCTACACTGGATTTCCTTTCTCCAAAGAGTAGTAGGAAAGCTTTCGATATTTATGGCAGCCAAATCTTTTTAAACAGGGGCAAGCAAAAAGTTTTATAGGGGCCAAAGTGATCTGACAAGAGCATTGCTTCTCACGTGCACATATACATGTTTATTTTGTTCTACTATCACTATTAGGCAAACTGTTTGGCAACTTTAAAAAATAACAAATGAACATTTTCTTTTTTCAAGCCACTCACAATTCTCCAGATTAATGCCTATTTCCAATCTTAGCTTGCCCCTTTCAGAAAGACCCCTGCCAACCCCCCAATGGACTGCTGGAAATAAGGCATCATTCTGAACAAGGGAAAGAGGAAGGATGCAGCAATAGAAAAAGAGATGGAGGAAAAGGAGGAAGAAGCAGAATAATAGAAATTAGCCAGAATCAGGATTTTATTACAGTAACATGGAAACAGCAGAAAGAAGAACAAGCATCTATATTTAGAAGTTTTTCCCTGAGATATTGCATTGTGAACTTAAGAGGCACTGCAACAGAAACTCAGAAATACAGTGAAGCAAAATGGCCAGAAACAGAAATGGATTCTGCTTTGGGATCAACAGCCTTTAGGAGAAAATGATGGTTAGATGTATTCCATTTTTTAAAAAAATGCATTTAAAAAAATCCTTAGGCTCCAGTCCTATACTAACATGCATGTGTGTATATATCTATATCAACATATGTCAGTGGATGCAAATTTCCCAATCGATGAGCATTCAAGTTTCCGATATTACTAATCTGTTGATCTTTCCTAGACATCCACAATGAAGTATTTATCTGTATTCCAGCTAAAAGCATTCACCTTTTAATATAAAAAATAATAACCCTTCCCTATTAATTGTTCTTGATTTATGAGATCAATCCCAGCAAAATTAGGGCATTAAAATCAGAAAGATCGAGATAGGAGTGCGAGGCACAGTCCACGCCAAAACATTTTAGAAATGCCTTTTCGATCAATCAATATTTTATTACGGTCACAGACCAGAATTAGAGAAATGCCTTTTAAGTGCATAGGCTGCAGCGTAACAGTCTGTACTGTTATCATTTCCAAAAATGTTGAGAACATGATGCAGCGGTGGATGTAATCACGGACAATGCCTATACGTATGGCTCTGCGTGCTTTTCCATACGCTGATGGGCTGAACTGCTGCAGTTCATTAGGCAGAGCGTGATGGTTGCCTCCGCCGATACATGCTGGATATAATGACAAACAATGACAAAGTGTTTGAAGGCAAAGCCACACAGCTGGCCCTGGGCCCAGTAAGCAAGCCTGTTGCCCTCAGTACGAATGCAAGATACTGCTCCGCGGCCAATGCTAAAGGAAGATTTCACTCCCAGCCCAGTCAGCTTCTGAAAATAGGGAGACAGGAGCACTTTGTTCTTCAACCCAGACAAAAAGACCTTGCACCGAATGAGGGGTATGGAAGAACTGTGAAAAAAGCACTGCCTGCTTATTTAGGACTTGCCCTGAGAATGACTCCCTTGGATAAAGCTGCTTTCTCCTGATGCAAGTAAAGCTATGTCATTCCTGCAAACCAAACTCTTTCTTCTGCATCATGGCCACTCAGAGAAGTGGGGGCGGGAGGTGGGGAGGACATCTGAAATGTGTTGACATCTTTTCATAACAGGGAACATTTGTAAGCAAAAAACATGATTTTCATTTTTACAGGAAATAAGAGCCTTGTTTCAGCTACCACCTGTCTTGAGCTGATACCCAAAGCAGACTGGAAATACAAGAAAGCACACACACAAAAAAAGAGACGAGTGGGAGCTCAGCATGAAGGAGAAAAATATAAAAGAGCAGTCAAGGAGAAGGAAAAGGATAGGCAAATGAGGGGTGAAAGCAGAGAACTGCAAAAGAGTCTACTGGTATGGCAGCAGCAGGGACCTTGAGACCCTCCAGATGGCCTTTTCCAGATCAGTCCTAGCCAGTGGCAGAGATGACTGGAGCTGGAATCCAACCACCTCAGCAGAGTGACACATTTTCCACCCTTGCTCCATGTCACCTCTGTAACAGCAAACTACCATGCCTTCTCCCTCAGGAACTATGGGAAGTGGACCAGGAGAGAGTTTGGATTGACCATTTTCAGCAATTCCCAATAATAGTTCCCAAGGTTCCTGGGGAAAACCATGACTGCGTAAGTCTATAGTTTTGACCCCACGGGCTTGGAAATTAATTATTTTGATCAGAGTTTGAGTATTTGGGCAAATGGAACTGCAGTGTGCCCCCCTCCCACCCCCCAGTTCCTTATCTGAGGCCGTAACAAGTATAAGAGCCTCAATGCAGATTTTAAAATGCATCAGATCCAGTACAAAGACTGGAAGCCTCTCTAATCATGGCTGGATCATACAAGAATTTTGGGACAGAGTTCAAGAGATGGCTTTCCCCAAACTCCCCTCACCGTGGTCTTACTTAAATATAACACCTGCTGATCCCAAGGCCCATAACCTAGCCGTGATTGTTTGTCTGCAGTTTGGTCTGCATCTAGATTCGGTGTGCTGCCCACCTCCTTGCCTCTACCCAATCAGAAGACACAGAAGAAGCCAGAATTGTGAATAACACTAAAGATTCTTACAGGGTCAGGGAAAATTCCTGAGCAGCCCCCAGTATCAAGTGTATTGCTGGGTGGGAGATATCTGCACCAACGGCCTAATTCTCTCCTTCATACACAGACTCATACACACCCACACACAGAGAGACAAGGTTCTCAGCACTGGATCCCAGCATCCGTGCCATCGACTGACGGACACCTCCTGGTTGCTCAGCCCCAGTGCTTGGTCCTTCAGTATGGAGTGAAGCGATTGCATCCTCCTCGATATAAACTAGCCTGCCAGAAAGAGAGAAAGCAAGCGTGAGAGGTGAGGGTTGGTTTAGAAACACAGCATAAAGACCTCGAAGCAACGGAAGCCATGGAATGCTTGAACAAAGGTTCTAAGGAGGGCCTCTTCTCCACCTGTCAGTCAATAACAGCCAACAGCACTGGAATTTTAAAGATAAGGAAGATGCAAAACCCAATTGATAAAAGAGGATACAGACCCACAACTCCTATCCTCCCTGAGCTAAATAGATTTAATGCAAGAAAATGTCACTTTGGGGGGAAAAAAAGAAACCCTCCCTAATCTATATTTTACTTTCCTGCTCCCCGTGAATGCCCTCTCCTGCCCCTCACCAGTGTAACACATAATTTCAGACCTAATGCAACATTACTGTCACAGGTGCCACAGGTACTCTCACAGGTTGAGAGCTGCGCTGGTGGTTTCACTTCTGCATTCCCCTCTAGGGGAGATGGAAGATTTCTATTCTGAAAGTATCGCAGAGGGTTTTTCCCACTAAAAGTCATTCAACAGGCAAATCAAGAACCAAAATTGGAATCCTACTACCTACCTGGTGTGGACTAGCAGGACATAAAGAAATGGCAGGAACACTGTCAGTGAGTAAGTGAACACTGCCATCTGCTGGGCATTTTGCAGTGGTACAATAATGCCTCATTTGATATTATGATTTTAACATTTCAAAAACTGCCCAATTCCCACTCATAAAAACACACTCAGAGCTGCGGCTTTAACAAACTTTGAGGGGGATGGGTAAAGAATCCTGCATCTGTGTATCTTATATTCCACGGGAAAAAATCACCGTTTATATATCTGTAACCATATACCTCAAAGTTTATTCTTTCTACATGCATCTGTATTCTTCAGATCTGCGAGTTCTAACTGATGATGGTTGCATGACTACTGTGCATATTTTATTAAACAACTTTTCACTATTATTCCCCCCCCTTCTCTTTTGCCATTCCAGAGTTGGCTACTCCAAATGCAACTGATGTGCAAACGTCTGCTACTCAAACAGGAGGGACACTGTTTATCTGCTCAGTATTTATACTGCATGGCTGGCTGGGGAATTCTGGGAGTTGAAGTCCACTCATCTTAAAGTGGCCAAGTTTGGACAACACTGCACTAGAGCCTAAACTGTACAGATGTTCTTGGCTTACGCTATATGACTGGACAGCATGACTTTCTGGCCCTGCCCAGCTCTTTTCCAGATGTGGCGTGCGTGGCCGTTTCATGAAATGACTCACCATGGCGCCAACCCCATAGGCAGGGGTCACTGCGTGGTGATAAGGCTCAGCAGTAGTGTAGACCCGTCCATACCTGCAGTGGGGAAAAGATTTGAGAAGACATCAGTAGGCAAGGTGAGGGGTGGGGGGGATCTCGGACTCATGAGCCAGATATGGCCCGCAGGGCTTCCCCGCTGGGTTCATCAACTTCTTTTCCCAGGAAAAGGAGGACATTCAAAGCTAGGAAAAGCTCTTGCTTGCCAATGGGCAGCTTGGCATTTCTGTGAGGTTGCCTACTAGAAAGGGAGGCACGAACGATCCCCATACTCTTGAAGAATCCTTCCCCTTGCAACAGGCTTTCAAAAAACAGTTGATGCTGTCAATCCAAGCTTCTACATACCCATCGCTGTATGCTGCTGCCGTGGCTGCAGCTGCTGGTGTCTGGGCCACTCTGTACGCTGCAGGATAACCCTAAAATGCAAAAAGCAGCTAACATAAAAATCATTCCAACACCCTGCCACCCCACCCCTACCTCCCATCAATTTCTTAGGGAAAAACAGAAGGACTTCGTCCACCTATCTTTTTTCCTGCTCCTGAACCTGTCAACTGAAGAGGAACCTTGAGCTGTCATTCTGCCTATCTGATTCTGCTCAGAAGAGCCTTTTTTTCTTTTTACACATCAACTACGTGATAATAGGTTTCTCTCCTCCAGTGCGCACTGGAGTTGAGCTAGCCCCATGCCACAGCACACCCTTTTTTCCCCACCTTTCCCTATACTTTCAGTTGTAGTCTGGCCTGCCCACCTAACTAGACTTGGTTTAATCAACAGATTCACTAAAATGGGACTGGGTGGCTTATGACGCGGTAGGAACATGCAAAATGTTTCAGTGCAAAAAGGTCCACTCTGAAAACAAGGGGTCTGAGCACGAAACAAAGCAGAGGTGTTCCAAGAGTTCCATTCAATTTCAGTTCAAGGCTGAAATAAAAATTAGCTGTTTTGTAGAGCTTTGCTTGAGCATTCTGAGCACCTCAACTGGAAAAATTGTTCTATGGTTGAGGATTGGGTTGCTTTTGGGGGGAAAAAAAATTCCAGCAGAGCAACAGGGATCATTCATGTTGCTGTTGCTATTGGTTTAGACTGGATTGAGTGACGTGGTTGTGAAGCAGAAGCACTGCTGTGTGGTTCAAACCTAGCAAGTTGCTGCTTTTAAAAAGAATACAGCAGCAATGTGGGTGGATGATAGACTGCATGTGCTGTGCTTTATTCTGCAGTAGGTAATACAAGGCTGTGTGCTTCACACACACATATGGCTACTGCTGCTGGAGTTGTGTAAATGTGAAAACTGTTGCTCCAATGTTGGGTTGGCTGGTTTCTTAATCTCTGGTGTGAACATTCATGCCATTGCACCCCATTAATGTTAAGCTTCAGAGTGCATTTAAAATATGAAGGTTCTACTTGGTTTGAGCGTGTTTGTTGAGCTTTGGTATACATGTGCATTTCACACTTGCTCCTGTCTCTTATTTTGTAATATTATTCTGGTAAAAAAAAAGCGCTAGCAGCGCTTTTTTTGCTTGCAACAGCCACACCTATGAGGAAGGAAAAATAACATCAAACAATATAGTTGCTTTTGTAGGGCTCGCCCATGGCAGGCAGGCTGCCAAAAAGAAAAAGAAAAAAGAAAAAGGCAGGCCAGATCTCAACCCTGCTAAGCAAGTGGAGGTTCTGTGCATTTAGAAAAATTGGCCAAGGAGATGATTTTTTTTTTAGCAAATTTTTTAGGAAAACCTACTAAAAGAGATATATAAAGGGAAAGGAGCATTAAAGTGATCAGCTGCTTTCTCAGTCTTGTAATCTGTTGGATGAATGACCCAGTTTACTTGTACTGAAAAGACCTCTGTCTGTCCTCTCTGCTAAGAAGGAAGAGAACTTGGCTAACTTTCCTAAATGGCCTTAGCAAGTTGTGTGACCCCCTTCCAGTGTGTATGACATGAGTGCAAGAAACATCAGAATGCACCATGCCTTCTTTTTATCCAGGATGGACACCTACATTTTAAGTTCTGCACTGAAGCACAAACTAGAAGTGAAGAATAAGCATGATGTTGGCATTCCCGAAGATGACGCAAAGTCCTTTTTGGCTCTGAACTGACTCTGTCCCTCAAAGAACATAGCCGTATCCCTGCAAGGGTCATGAGTCCTGCCACCCCTTTTCTGCTTTGGGACTGTTGAGCTGGGCACCCCCATCCAGGACCCTTGGGCCCTAATCCCCAGAAATACCCAGAGGAGGACTTACGTAGAGGTCGGAACTGTATAGACCATCTGGATAGAGCACGCTGGGTGGAAGAAGAAATATCAGTATGCAGCAGGAAGCATCTTTCCCTTTAGACCCACCCCTTTCAAATGCCAGCTAGTCTTCTTAAGAAGCTGCTTTTAATTATAAATTTAATCATACAACATATGAGGAGCAAAGCATGATCCTGAGCATCTGCACAATGCCCTTCCCCGGACCATTTAACAACCAGAAAGAAGAACTGTGCATCTGGCATGAGAGACTATGGAGAGTCTTCAAAGCACTTGAGTATTGATGTTCATATGCCCATTCCAAGACTTGCTGGATCAGGCCACAAGTGCAGCAGGCAGGCGGTTATTGAAAAAAACGAAGAAAAAAGCAAGAATATTCGATGCCTTTTCTGTTCACTGCACTCCAGTAAATGAGAGGCATAACATCTCTGAAGGCTTCATTTATCTGCATCCTGACCTGAGCTCACCAGAGAACAAAATTCCCCACCCCACTCCAGAGAGGATGGGACTGTGGCTCCCTGACATTCCTTAGTCAACAGTCCTAACATTATTGGACGGCAGAAGTGGGCAGGAGAGGGGGAAGTTTTTTAAAGCCATCTGAGCCAGTGGCCATCACTTCCTCTTGGGACTTTTGAGGCACATCGCAACCCTGTAGCTAGCTTGCAATTCTGTATTTCTTTTCCCTTCCCACAATCATTTCTTTGAATCCAAATACCATCTTTCCATTCCCACAGCCCCAAATTTGCCCTCCTATATTCAAGGCATTTCTTCCCAAATATTGCCCTAGCGCCTCCCTCCCTCCCTCTCTAGCTGCCTTCCTACCTACCTACGAACCGACCATCCAGGAGGGTTGTGCCTGCTTTGAAAATGATGTAGAAGAGCTTCAAACATCATGGAAGCACAAGCACAGCACTTCTTTGCCATTTAGTAAAGCAACCACATCTTTCAGGCTTCTGTGGGAGACTGAAGCAAGGTGCAGCTGCTTTAAAAGTTGCCTTAATGGCTCTGAGGAGAAGAGCTGAATCAACCCGAGAGCTGATACAGGAAAGGAGGAAACTCAAGTCCAAAATAAAAGCATTCCTCCGCCTCACTTTTATATTGCTTGAAATACACTTTTAAACAAAATGAAATATCCAGGTTTTTAGTAAGATGTCTTAAGGAAATCTCCTCAACTTGGCACCTTCCAGATGTGATGGTTGGTCCCATCATCCACTGTACTGCTCTAGAGGGCTTCTGACTGGGAAGGTGTTTTAAGCAGGCATTATTAGTGTCCTACAAGCCATCATGAGCTCCTCATTGATCTCTGTCAATGCTCACCTGCCATAGGCTGGAACTGGAGAGGGGGCAGGTGCCGCTCGAATGGGATTATAGATAGTGGCTCGGCCACGCCCTCGCAGGGTCCCACGATAGGCCAGAGCAGCAGGTGCCATCATGGGGTAAGGGATGCTCGCCACTGAGTGAGAGGAAGCAATAAAAGACAGAAACAGAGAGAGAAAATGCACATTCCAATACAGGGAGAAATGAGAGAGGCAGACTTGGAACAGGAGTGGAACTGAGCAGAACAGACAAAGAAAGGAATTGTTTTGTGCTTCAAAGCATTACCAGTGCAAGGGGCAGAGCAGCTTACAAAGAATGATTCTAGGAAGCAACCACAGTTAAGTGTGCTTAATGTTTCAACTTGGGGTAAAAATGCTAGGCCCAATAATCCCAAAAATTTAAGTGGGAGGATAATAATCCTAGTCATTATACCACATTCAGAGGATACAGATTGCTGAGAGTATGTTTTCTGTCAACATTTCCATTTTTGTTTTTAAATGGGGTAATGAAGAGAACTTCCAGCATTTGATCAACTTATGGCATTGTTTTTTCCTTTTTTAAAAAATTGAACTTTTTTTAAAAAATATGGAAATTAAATTAACATTGTTATATACTTTTTTCTCTTAGCCTCAGGGTGTGTGTGTGTGTGTGTGCACGTGCACATGTGCACGCATATACAAATGTACATATACACACATATTAGTTTGTAATATGTATGTAAACAACACAAACGTATATTCTTGACCTGTATGAATGCAGGGGTGTGTGTGTGTGTGTGTGTGTGTGTG